TGGGACTTGGGACATCGCTATTGTGGTCAGATGCACAGGTGTTGTGTCTACACCCACAGAAGCTTCAATGGCCAAGAGCATCAGATTTGAAATCAGAAAGTGTACAGTCTTCTATATACAGAGGGTGGTGGGTTCAAACCCAGCCCTGGCCAAACTGCAACAACAGCAACAAAAATAGCCTGGCGTTGTGGTGGGCGCCTGTAGTCCCAGCTACTCGGAAGGCTGAGGCAAGAGAATTGCCTAAGCCCTGGAGTTGGAGGTTGCTGGGTGATGCCATGGCATTCTACTGAGGGTGACAAAGTGAGACTCTGTCTCTACCAAAAAAAAAAAAAAAAAGTCTGGGCTAGTTAGGGATTCTGCCTCACAGTCTGTCTTATCCCAAGAGGTCTTCAGGGATCAGCACAGGTGGAAGGGCCCAGAACCCTGTTCAGAGAGAGTAGCACTGGAGGAAGTGAAGGGGGGGTTTTCAGAGGTGTAAGTGGAGGGTAGAAGTACAAACCCCATTCAGTAAGAGTTTCTAAAACCACAGACAACTTGATCTTCTTCAGGTGGTCCTGAGTTTTCCCCTGAGGGAATACTAAGAAAGGGCAAGCTGCACTTTTGAGATGGACCATTTTCTATAAAGCACTGGTCATTCATCAGAACAGAATGGCCACTGGATGTTAGGTGCTCTTGAGCTATAGAGTTCAGCTTATAGGCCATGGTTACTGGGACGATATTTAAAAATTGTTTATAAGGGCACTGTAATGGCCTCCGCAGGTCTTCAGGCTGCCTGTGGCTTAGCCATCATGGACAGATCCAGTTTTTAATGGAACTATAATCTTTCAAGCAGCATATCCTACTGGGACATTGTGCCTTACTCTGGGATATCTCCAAACTTATGAGGCCCAAGGATTTTTAAATCAACCAGTAGCTTTCACTCTCCAGGCACCTGGCTGCTCTCCTGCTCCAGCTCCAGTCTTACACTCACCAGCCGTCTGACTGCCATCTATACTGTGGTTTAGTGTCACTTGGCTTACATAATCCTCAACAGTTGATTCCAAACATTGTTGTCTGTCAGGCATCAGTAAATTCATTCATATATTCACTCATTCAATAAACATCTACTATCACCTATTATGTGCCAGCTTTCTGGACATTCAAAGATGGATACAACCAGTAGATAAGACAGAACTCATTATTAATTTGAGGAGGTTGACAAGTAAGTAGTTACAATATTTATGACAAACACTATGAAATTACTAGCAGAACCCAAGAGGTACATCAAACCCAGTGTTGGAATTCGGGTAGATTTCCCAAAGAGATGTCAGCCAAGCTGAGCATTAAAACTAGCAAAGTAGTTTATCTGGTAAAGAAGATAATTACAAATATCTAATCAGAAGACTTTTAAATTCCATGAGACAATGATACATGGGAAAAAGAGAAAAATAGAAAAACTAGAGGGGTACAATGGGTGCCTGTAGTCCCAACAACTCAGGAGGCTGAGGCAGGAGGATCACTTGAACCCAGAGGTTTGAGGTTGCTATGAGTAAGGCTTGATGCCACGGACCTCTAGCCTGCGCAACAGAGTGAGACTCTGTCTCCAAAAAAAAAAAAAAAATGCATTTTTTAAAAAAAAATAGATGCCTCTAATGATAGGTACCAGAATGTGACCAGAATGGCAGATGGAGGGGCTGAACTTTCAGTTGCCAATTCTATGATCTTGACAGTGTCTGCTGGGTACTGTTTGTGTGCATTCCAGCTTTTGGCTCTTTCTGTCATTCAAGGTCACTCAATATTTTCATTCATTTCAAATTGACCCACTTTATCTCCAGCCACCGCAGGTAAGCACAAGCTGTCTGTTTTCAAAGGCCACACAATAGAACTCACATACGTACTGGTGTCTTTTTCTATCTGTCATCATTTGGATATAAAAATACCATGTATATTTAGTAACATAGGTCAAACTATCAAAGAATTCACCTTTTGATTAGAGAAGTGGAATAAGAACAGGATTTTTTGGTGTTGATTTCATAAGAAAATGTGTTTTCTGATAGCCCAATAGAACATGAGGCTATTTTTATAGTCCAAATACTGCTTCTCAGAAACATTCACTATTTCCTTTAACTCCACAGTACAAACTAGAGAGTGTTGAGGAGTTATTTAATCAAAGTTCACTTATGGCGTGGGGCCTGCTTGTTGGAAAGAAAGCTTTGAGTTTCTTTCTCAATGTCTCTGATTAGGGGAAAAGAGACTTCTTTGCAAAATTTCAATTTTGTCAAGGTGAATTAACCTGAGCGAGACTGTCAATTCACTATAAAAGAAAACTCTTACAGAAATGTTAATCTAAAATGGGGGCTCAATAGCTATTTGAGTGGGAAAATGAGTTTATACATGTTCTAAAGTATTACTCTACAAATAGTAGTTTAACAGTCTTAATGTAAAATCCAATATTTAATCCAGAAATAGGGTGACAAGAAGCTAACATCGGTTTTTATATCAACTAGAGGCTTATCACACAATTAAGGCAAAAAGCCCAAATTCCAACCAATAACCTTTGTGAAAGGCTACTGACAGCTGGGGGAGAATTTCTTCCAACTTTTCGAAATTTTAGCAACTGCTATGTGAGTTGTGTTGGGGTAAAATATGAAAAGAGTAGGACGCTACATTTTAACAAATGGGCTAAGTTTTCCCATCAAAATGCCCCATCACTTATATCATTATTACAATCCAAATTGTATATCCAGGTAAATTCCTCTGTGTTCCATTTTGAACCTGGGGACTACTTGAATCTCTCAGCCTCTGTGCAGACATTAGGTCATATCAGCGACTTTTGTGTCCAATATTTCCTTCTGGACCACTTAAAACCCAAGCCGGAATTACCATATCACACCTCATGCCCTAAATGAATTACGCCCAGCCAGGTGCAGTGGCTTACTCCTGTCATCTCTGTGTTTAGGGAAGCTGAGTGGGGAGGATCTCATGAGGTGAGGAGTTTGAAAGCAGCCTGGACAATAAAGTTAGACCTTATCTCTACAAAACCAAAACAAAACACCACCACCACCACAACAACAAAAAAACTAGCCAGCGTGGCACATGCCTATAGTCCCAACTACTTGGGAGGCTGAGACAGGAGGATCACTTGAGCCCAGGAGTTTGAGGCTGCAGTGAGCTAGGATGATGCCACTGCACGCCAACCTCAGGTGCCAGTTTGAGATCTAAAAAGCAACCAATAGTGATTGAATGAAGGAATTATGCCCATTTAGCTAATAGATATTTGAAGACTACATTAGGGGAATGTAAATCAATAATAGTCTAAGAAAAACATCATTAGAGTAGAAAAAGTAGAATGCAACAAAATACTAGGAAACTGTATTAAATTATCTATCACCCTCTCCAGCCATGTCAAGAATCCATAGGTCTATCACTCAACTGACCAGATCACTTAATGTCTAAATGATAAGTGATGAGCACACAGCAGGCGCTCAATAAGCAGTTTCAGAATACAGACGATGCTTTTGGAATTTTTCAGTAAGTTCTGCAATTTTGGATTCAATTTGCAATTGTTCTTTAGGAAAAAGTTGACCAGGATCCAAAGGGGAAAACAGGTTAGACGCATAGAGATAGAGTTGATCAGTTCTTTCAAATCCTTTAGCAGCCTGAACTTATGCAATTTGATTTTCTTGTCATTGTTTTCCCTGCACTATCAAAAATGATGCTTTCTCCACTATTTCAGACTCATCATAAAATGGCTAAAAATCTAAAATTCAATTTGCCACATTACGACTAATTTGAATAATGGCTGAACGAAACACAGGAAACGCTGAAGCAGCATTGATTTCTAAAACATTTTGCACTTTCCTCCTCCATCCCTGTAAAGTAAAGCTCGGATGCTATGCACAATTACACAAGAAAATCAAGAAAGCCATTACATTCAGCATTTTGTCATGATCATTGTTACCATGGCAAAAAGTGGGCTTAGTTTAGCACAGCTGCTACGGGCAAGGTCCGCTGGCTTTCTGTAAAGCCGGGTAACAATATAATGCCAAATTCTGTAGCTGGTCACTGTTTCTTAACCCGGAAGGACAAGGCTATTGTCCATAGATGCTACTGTCTCATTCCTTAATGCTTAGAGCAAATGTCATCTTATTATTTTATTCCTCCCATTGGCTGGTGATGAAGGAAAACTAGTTCATCTGGGAAGGTTACCACTTGACCCACCTCCTGTTCTAAAGAGAGCGAATGTGAGCATGAACTTAGGTCTGCGTTAATAGAAAGAGGCAAAGTTTTAACACTTGCACGGTCAGTGACAATAGGGTTGTGCTGGAAGGCGTGTGAGTCTGGGAGGGAGAGAGAAAGGCAGGCCTTGCTGTGTGGCCTCTCAGTTTTTCTGAGTAATCTCTACAATGGGGATAAAAGCAACTTCCTCGTGAGAATTAGCTGAAATAATCTACAGGCCTAGGAGGCATGTGGTGATTAATCAATACAGTAGCAGCCCCTCCCATGCCACCCCTTTCTCTATCTCTGAGATTTCTATATGCCTTCAGGAATGTTGAAAGAAGCTGGTAGGTAAGCTGTTTTCTGCTGTTAGAAGGTGAATCATTTTCCTTTTTTATATCATTTGGATACTTTCCTCGGAGAGCTGGGGAGAAATTATTTTAAGGTCTGACAATAAGCATAAATTTCACATCAACAGGCTAAAAATTCACTGTCAATATTATAATACGCACCACCTCTTATTATCCATATTAGAAGTGGCGCTAACATAACCACTGTGCAATGGAAAATGGAGTAGATGCTGTTTTTGATCTTACGCAGGGATTTTTTTTTTTAGTCTTAAAAAATGAAGCAGCATTATGAAAGCAGAGTTTAAATTACCTAAAATGAATACATTAATCAAGACTCTCTATTTACGCGAAAGAAAGGCTACTAGCACTTTTACCAGCTAAACAAAATATTTTTTTCTAATGAGATTTCAGCTGAGCGTCGTTTATCTTAAGAGAAAAATAATGGGACCTTACCTATTCCAGTAGCTCCAGAACTGGTCATGCAGGTAGGCGTGGTGGCTACATTCATCACCAAATGAGGCTTTGCTTTCAATCCAGTGAATTATGTGCCCTTCCACAGCTAAGGGACAAAGCATTACTAATATATGGCAAAGGAAAGGGAAGATTGAAAATTCTGAACTCTACACAGGCCTCTCTGTGCTCCACGTACGTTAATGAGCAGAGGCTTAGCTCTCATCATTATCTACACATGTAAGTATAGCCCAACTCCTTGTATTCGTTCATTGCAAGGAACATTTGTGTTACAGTCGCAACCTTTTTATTTTTGTCATATTCCTCAACAGTCCCTTTCCTAGTCTCGAGATTCCCTGTATAACTCAACAAGGGACACGTCCAGCAGACCAGAATGAGTTGGCTTTTTCCGTAGAATCGAGTTTTAAAAATTCACCATGTAGAGAAGTTGAAAATGGCAACCCAAATGTCTTCAGAAAATACATTTATTCTTAAGCCTAGGTAAATGTTTTCAAGATCTAGATTCCTTTTGAACCTATTGTTTTTTGCTATCTGAAAATACTTTTTGCCAACTATTTTCACCCCTTTAGATGCAATTTTAGAAAGCTTATCTACTCAGGTAACATTCACCAATATTAACATACCAACGAAAAATGTGTAGAAAATTTATCTGTTTTCTCTACAAACAAATGCATAATAGAATTTAAGGACTTACCGACTGGAACTTGTAAGATAAAGTCTGGCGTTTTGTCATAACCCTTTGCACGGAGCTGATCTTCATCTACAGGAAGAACAAATACTATTATGTGTCACAGCATTCCATTAAAAAGATAGCAATATAATTGCTTTTCTTTCTTACATATGTGTAAAAACTACTAATGAGGTCATACATATCTTTCTTACCCGTGCAGTGCTGGGTCAGAATAAATGAACTTTCTTAACAAACCTGAAGCCTAGATATAAAAACACTTTGGTCTTTCTGCATTTTTATGCCTTTATTATAAACACCATTAATTCAAGCTGTGATATGCTATCTTTCCTTGTAATTGAAGGTACTAAAAATAAAGGAATATACTTACTGATCGAAAGAACAGGCTTTCACCACCATGAAAATGGCTAATGTTGTCAGCCAATATTGACAAGTTACAGTAAAGCACCAGCACCGCGGCCTTTACTTATGAAACAAGTGCTTTCAACAAAGCAATTAAGAAAGTTTAGTTTCAATTAGTGAAACTATTCTTACACACAAGAAAGGGACGAGGGCAATGAGATCACCAGAAAGAATTAATTATCCTGCTTAACTCCTGTGGTATGCTATTGTTTTTGGCATTTGCTAGAGTTTTATAACTAAACAATATGCAATTCTGAAAAGCAAACAGGCTTTAAGATTTTTTTTCCCCCTAAGTCTGTTTGATTTCTTGATCCTCTGTAAACATCAATGATCCATTCTGAAGGAAAAAAGGCAGGAAAACAGGAAGCTTGACGAAGTTGGAAAAAAACTAGCAAGGTGCTTGGTTAAGAAAAAAAAAAAAGAAAAACGTCTACCAGTATTTTCTCAATGCTGTCCTTGACTTCTAATGGCATTACAATGTGATTTCTGAAATGGGGAGTTCTCCATTAGATTTTGGAGTGACCTGGTCATTCAATTCCAGACATGGCTTTCTGTCTTCACCCAACCTCAACTAATGGCCCCACCAAGTAACAAGGAAGGCTGTGTGGTCTCTTAACACCTACTGGGCTGTTGACATTGTCACGCGTCCCATTCCCCTTCCTGCATCACCTTTGATTAAAATTAATGGCCCATCCCCAGTGTTGGGTAGCTTATTTCCAATCCATTTGTCAGCCCAAGACAGTGGTTTCATGGCCAATGTTCAGAGACTCTCTTTTAGAACACTCTTGTGTAAATCTTGAAAGGTCAGCATTTTAAATGTAAATAACCTTTTAATGACAAGACACATATTTAAAGTAGACATTTAAGTTAAATTTTGTTAACAGTCAATATCCTTAAGCTATCCAGATTTTCAAGCATGGATGCCAGAATTCAGAACCATCTCCCTGTCTTGAAATATAAACAATTTTTAAGTTAACTGTTGAGATAATAAAATATAAATTAAAGTAATATGACTTTAAAAAACAAGAGAATTTGAGAAGTGGGCTGTAGATGAACAACACTGTAAAAACTTCTATCTTCTAACTATACTCAGACCACAACGAGACTATTTAATAAAAAAAGACATTTATTAAAATCGACTCCAGTGCCTTGAGCTGATGTTTCAGGTAGCTGATGAACAGTTTTGAAGGCTGGGTTGACATTAAAAAAGATAGATTAATATTTTATGAAAACTATCCTAGCTTGATCAACCTTTGCAGACGTTAAAATCTATTTCAGAAAGAAAAATGATTATGTTTCTGATAACAGCACACAACAAAATTTCAAAGGTCACCAGGCAATCCAAATGCACACACTAAAATCCTTTAAAGATGGATGCTGCACTCCTGTTCACTGCACCAAAATTACTAATACAATACCTACAATTTAAACTGCATGACTGACTTAATGTGAACATTCAAAAACCCAAACCCCAAAACCTGAACGTAAAACATCAATGAAGGTAGGGAATCGTTCTATCTCTTGTGGGGAACTTCAAAGTACAACTGGCTTACTGGAGTGTTCTCTCTCTCTCTCTTTCTCCCTCCCTTCCACTCTCTTGCTCAGTATGAAGTTGATTTGTAAACTAAAAATCGTAAAGGCTCCTCCCCCGGTGGCTTACTGACTGAACCTCCCCTCTTGGCCAAGAGGATCCCCTAAAACTGAGTTGCTAGCCATGAGAAAGGAGATCAGCATCACTCATCAGTTCCCCCATCTTCTTAGTGATGTCCTTTGTGGCTCATTACCAGGCCTAAGGCAATGCAAGACAGACCTGCTGGTCTTCAGTATATACAACAAACCACTTGAGTCAGGGCATAGGTCCAGTAGTTTGTCTCTGATTAACTGATCCTTATCTTCTCTGACTCCTGGTCTTTTAGGTAGAGCCTGACTCTTTTCAGCCAGTTGTCAATTGAATCTTTAAAACCACCTACAACCTTTAAATAAGCCTTGGCTTTGAGATTTCCCACCTTTTCAGGCCAAACCAATGTATGCCTTCCCCCACCATATCAAGTCCACTTGCTCAACGCTTCTTGGGTGTGGCTCTGGATCACAGTCCTCAAATTTGTCCCGGAATAAACCGCTTTAATTTATTTTACAGAGTATGGCTTCCTTTCCATCAACAGATCCTACAGTAATCGTATCCAAAAGATAGCATCTAGAAATCTGGGGAAAATGAGACTTCTATTTTTTATAGAAAAGAGGTTACCCTCAACATCTGAAATAATATGGACTGGGCATCTTCTCTCTCCTTAAATTTTCTTACCAAACTCTCACTGCCTTATTTCCCCTGTGTAAGTTCACATTGTTTCTTTTAACCTAGATTTCCTAAGAAAGGAGGAGGTAACCACTTGGCAACATGCAGAGGAAATGACAGGACAAGTGTAGGAAATTGCATTCATGAGCAGGTGGTCTTGCTCACCTGCTGGAGGCCCCAAGAGAAGTTTCTAACATCGATCATCCCACTGGGAGACTTTTTAAGGTCAGCCCTGTCCATCTGGCCTGATTTTCTAGCTTTTGAATTAGGTTCCTTTCTTGGCCCCCAGACATTGAAAAACTTCTTACCATTAGATCATTAGCCAAACCATTCAGTCTGGGTTTAAAATTTGGTTTATATGCCAAGGTTCCAACTGTGAGATCTTGAGGTGACATATTCTGGTCCCAGCCCACTCTAATTTTCTTCTGCCTCATTCTTTGTTAGCTACCCTGTGCTATCTATCAAGCATGGGCCTGGGTCTTACACCCTGGGCCTTATACCCTGGACCTCGTCCTATTGCTCTGAGGACAGCAGCATTTCCCTTTCATTTTTTAGTATCCTACCCACTGCCCTACTCTCACCACCAACATACGCCCCATACACATTTAATGTTCAAAAAATATATAACCGAATAAAATACAAGGGCATTTTAAAGAATATTTTTGTCTATTACAAAACCTGTCTAGACTGACAAAACAAAAGTTTCCTTTCCTAATTTAACTCCCCATGCATCAAAAAGCCATAGCGGTACCAACATTAACTCAAAGTTCAAGATTTCATTTGACAGCTCTCACTATTATCGTTCATCCTTGGTCTGAACTGTCTATTCTACATGTTTACCTGCCATTCATCTCAATTGTTGAGAATGGGATATTATTCCTTTCCTGAATGCTGATGGCAAATTGTCCTGTTTTTCTTTGATGTCTGGTATTTTAAATAATATTGGACTTATCTGCTCTTTAAAATTTTGGTAGCACGCCCCACAGAAACCCAATGTGTGCCCGGTGCTATTGTTGGGCAGTTCTTTGGCCTCTTCTCCCATTTCTTCTATGGCTATGGATCTATTCATATTTTTATCTCTTCTATAGTCAGTTTTGCCATTTGTATTTTCTTTGAAAATCATACATTTCAAATAGGTTCTTATAATACTTTGCACAATCTGAGCTAAGTGGTGACTTACAATTTTTTTAATTTCTCAAGTGGAAACTAAATGTTTAATAATCTGTGGTTTTCTGGGTGGCACCTCTGGCTCAGTGAGTAGGGTGCAGGCCCCATATACCAAGGGTGGAGGGTTCAAACCCAGCCCCGGCCACACCCCAACAAAAAAATAGCCAGGCGTCGCGGCAGGCACCTGTAGTCCCAGCTACTTGGGAGGCTGAGGCAAGAGAATCACCTAAGCCCAGGAGTTGGAGGTTGCTGTGAGCTGTGATGCCACAGCACTCAACCAAGGGCTATAAGTGAAACTCTGTCTCTACCAAAAAGAAAAAAAAATCAAATCAAATAATAATCTATGGTTTTCTTCAAGACAAAATGATCAAAATTTAAAACAGTAAAAATAATATTAGTTAGAAAGTATACAATTTATCCATGTTACAAGAACACTTGCACCCTCTTAAAATTTGAAATAAAAATTATTTTAAAAAAGAATATTATTCTTTTATTGGGAGGGGGGAAAGCCAAGTAATGGTATTAACACGAAACAACACTTTTAGTGTAACTTCCCAACATGGTTGAGGATCAGTATGAAATCAAGATGACCTATCTTATTCAGTGTAGATAGCACACACTCAGTAGGGTCTTCTGGTTGTATATACCCAATATACTTCACAACTATTAAGCTCTTTAATATCTTAGTTTAAGTGTATATTATTAAAATTAATATAAGAGTATTATCCCCTAAAAGTAGATTAGTTAACCTGCAGATTCACAAAATGTAGGTTTTTAGATAACTACTGATTCATATATTTCTGAACAAGTCCAACATTCCAATTTTTGCACAAAACTAGCCTAGAAAAGTTGAGTGACCAAGACTTAGACCTCTCAAATCATTACAGATAGAGGACGAGAGCCCGTGTCAACCAACTTCCAGTTTGTTCTGATAGACTGTGTATCACTCTTAATTACATAGACATTTAAGTGGGTCATGTGTAACATTTACAAAGTAGGGAAAATACTTATTTCCCTCTTGTAAAATCTTGAACCACAGGACAGGTGGATGGCTATCTGTCATATACTATTAATTAAATCAGATATCATTCAGATGGCATCTACCTAAAGAAGAGGGAAATTGGAGAACGTCTTGATTTCTCGCACTTTAATGGTCCTCTCTCCAATTTAACTTAAAAAAAAGTCAATAAAACTGCATCCAGAGATGAAA